GTCATGAAGGGGCCATAGTTCCCCCATGCTGGCTGAGGAATTCTGGGAGTTGAAGTCCACCAGTCATGAAGGGGCTATAGTTCCCCCATGCTGGCTGAGGAATTCTGGGAGTTGAAGTCCACCAGTCATGAAGGGGCCAAGGTTGCCTATCCCTGGCCTAGTCCATTGTTTCTCCACCTCAGCAACTTTAAGAGTGTAGACTCCAACTCCCAGAATTCCTCAGCCAGCTGTGCTGAGGGGAAAGGGAGAGGTTTCCAAGCTGGGCCATGCTGGCTCAGGAATTCTGGGAGTTGAAGTCCATGAGTCATAAAAGAGCCCAGGTTGCCTACCCCTGCACTAGACCCTCAATTCTTAAATATATGGTGGATTGTTTTTTATTTCCATAACTGATGTCAGGGAATAGAGACGGAGAAGCCGAAAGAGAAAATGTCCATCTCTAATTCAGATTTATTGAAAAGCTTGCAAGGACATTTTCTGCTGGGCTTTTAAGTTCTCACCCTCTTCACTTCCAATCACACTTATAAAACAAGAATAGGTTTATTTTCCCTCCTGTCAACCTCCCAGTGCTTCCCATTGAAGCCCAGTTCCACCTGGGTCCACACCTTTACTCTGAAATTGTCCTTTCCTTAATTTACGGGCTGCGTTCCCTGTCTTGCACACCGGTTGTGGCTTCACGGACGCACAACCTGAAGGTTGATCCTCGCTTAGCTTTTTCTTCTACGTACAGCAGGAGCCCCCCGAGTCGGTGTGCGGCCGGACAAGGGAAGGACATGACCCTCACCGAGGCAGGGGCGAGAAGCCCACACGGTAAAATGCTTTGGGGTCCGGGGCTCTGCGCATCGGGAGGGAAATGTGCATTTTGCGGAAGGATGTTTGGGGGTTAGAAATGGTAGAGAACATAAACCAGGTACTTATTATCGTATGTGGCAGGCATGTGTTAAAGCAGGGGTCTTCAAACTTGGCATTTTTATGACTGGTGGACTTCAACTCCCAGAATTCCTCAGCCAGGCACCTGGCTGAGGAATTCTGGGAGTTGAAGTCCAGAAGTCATGAAAGGGCCATAGATCCCCTATGCTGGCTGAGGAATTCTGGGAGTTGAAGTCTGCAAGTCATGAAGGGGCCATGGTTCCCCCATGCTGGCTCAGGAATTCTGGGAGTTGAAGTCCACCAGTCATGAAGGGGCCATAGTTCCCCTATGCTGGCTGAGGAATTCTGGGAGTTGAAGTCCACGAGTCATGAAGGGGCCATAGTTCCCCTATGCTGGCTGAGGAATTCTGGGAGTTGAAGTCCACGAGTCATGAAGGGGCCATGGTTCCCCCATGCTGGCTGAGGAATTCTGGGAGTTGAAGTCTGCAAGTCATGAAGGGGCCATGGTTCCCTCATGCTGGCTCAGGAATTCTGGGAGTTGAAGTCCGCCAGTCATGAAGGGGCCAAAGTTTCCCCATGCTGGCTCAGGAATTCTGGGAGTTGAAGTCCACGAGTCATGAAGGGGCCATAGTTCCCCCATGCTGACTGAGGAATTCTGGGAGTTGAAGTCTGCCAGTCATGAAGGGGCCATAGTTCCCCCACGCTGGCTCAGGAATTCTGGGAGTTGAAGTCCACGAGTCATAAAAGAGCCAAGGTTGCCTACCCCTGATATAGGTAGTCCTCGAATTACGACCACAATTGAGCACCAAAAATTATGTTGCTAAGTGAGACAATGGTTAAGTGAGCTTTGCCTCATTTTGCGACCTTCCCACAGTCGCTAAGCGAACTGCTGAAGTTCTTAAGTTAGCAACACGGTTGTTAAGTGACTTCCCCCCATTGACTTCGCTTGTCAGAAGACCCCCCCAGGACACGGCGACCGTCATAAATGTGAGTCAGTTGCCAAGCGGCCGAATTTAGATCACCTGGCCGTGGGGATGCTGCAAGGGTCCTAAGTGTGACAAACGGTCCTAAGTCGCTTTTTCAGGGCCGTTGCAACTTAAAACAGCCACTAAATGAACTGTTGTAAGTCGGGAACTACCTCAAAATCAACAACTTGTTGTCGACAACTGTGGTCCTGACCCCTTCTGCCTTCTCCCCGCCAGAGCCGGTCCACCGTCGACCAAGGACTTGGAGCCTCACACTGGCCTTACACATCAGCATAACGTGGCACATCCGATATCCAGACCAGAGTCAGCTCATAAAGGTGAGACGTGGCCTCTTGTTTTATAGGACAGATTATAGAATAAATTCAATCAGAATAGAGCTGGAAGGGACCTTGGAGGTCTTCTAGTCCAGCCCCCAGCTTGAGCAGGAAACCCTGTACTATCTCAGACTTACAGATATCGTCGCAGGATGGAAGCGGTTCCTAGTAAGGCCGCCTTTTGCAATTGACTGATGGCGAATTTGTCAATGCCGATGATGGTGTCCAAGGGGTGCTCCAGTTGTTTTGGGATTGCACCCAAGGGGCCTACGACTATTGGTACTACTACCCTTGCTTGCCTTTGCCACAGTCTTTCTATTTCTATTTGTAGGTCTTTGTATTTTGTTATCTTCTCCAGTTCTTTCTCATCTATCCTCGTCTTCTATTATTATTATTATTATTATTATTATTATTATTATTATTATTATTATTATTATTATTATTATTATTATTATTATTATTATTATTATTTCTATTCTATTCTATTCTGCATTCAATTCTATTCTATATTCTATATTCTATTCTATTCTATTCTATTCTATTCTATTCTGCATTCAATTCTATTCTATATTCTATATTCTATTCTATTCTATTCTATTCTGCATTCAATTCTATTCTATATTCTATTCTATTCTATTCTATTCTATTCTATTCTATTCTATTCTATTCTATTCTATTCTGAGGCACAGATAGGCAGTGCAGCAAAATTGCCAGCCTTAATTTGATTTTGCTCGGTTGATTTCATATTCCCTTTTTTTTCTTGTCTCTTCACAGGTCACCACTATAAGCAGTAGGAGAAAGCCACCCTCGACTTTTCTCTCCATAGATACTGACTTTCCAGTGTAGCCAGCTTTATTGCATTTCTTCCAAGAGAGTTCCTGACGTCCCGTCGTTCTCCAAGGAGGTCACTTCCTTCCCAGCAGGAAAACGTCCACGGACAGTTCCTCCTCCTTCAGCCTGTTGTAGGGCGATGTTCTCCTTGTCTCTGACTCTCTCTCTCTCTCTCTCTCTCTCTCTCTGTCAGGCTGGGCAGTTGAGTCTAGCCTTTGGGCAATTCTGCACCCCACCTGCACCCCGAGAATCTCTTCCGAGCTTCCAGACCTGGCTTTGTGTCCATAGCACAAGAGTAGGAAGGTGGTCAGGTGGACACCAGAGGAAGGCCCAGGGAAGGGTGGAATCAGAGAGCCCGGAGGTTGGTGATCCTCACCTCATGAAGACCCCATAGTAGAGATGTCCAGGTGGCTAGGATTAGGGTCCTGTAGTCAGAATGGGTCAGTGTGTCTCTGGAGTGGACCAATCTCAAACTTCTGGAGATGTTTCTCCAAGCATGTCCTTCACCTGGAATTCTGAGCACTATTGCTTCTCTTGAGAAAGGAAGACTTCCAGAAATGAAAGAGAGATGTCCATGTCCTGTTCTGGGAAGGAAAAATGGAATTTTTTTTTTCCCAGGAAACACTGGGAAAACATTTTAGGAGGGACCCAACAGGTTGCTGTTGTTTTTTTTAACATTTTAGCTTAGCCCTTTCTTTTTCCCCCAAACGTTTCCTGAAGGACAGGAACGACATGAGATGACTTCTTGAGGGTTTTTTTTAATATATATATATATTTCCATTGATTCATAAATACAAAGGTCAGAAACATAATTTGGGATAAATAACGATTACTCAGGTCTGTTTTATTTTATATTTTATTTTAAGCTTTAGTTTTTAACAGCCAGAGGAGGAGCACAGACGTTAGGCCCCATCTTCGAATGCTGCAGTTGAGGCCTTGAGGGCCCTCACCCAACTTCTTTCAACCCCCACCAGATGCTTCACCTGGTTCCCAACATTTTTTGTTGTTCAATTTGTAATAGTCTTGTACGGGTCTCGCAAAATACAGGGTGTCGTGTAGGGAGCACGCGTGCTGGATTCACACAGCACATTTAAGCCACAAGAGAAGACAAGCAAGATTAAAAAAAAACAAAACAATCCAGTTTAGCAAATTGGGTCAATGTGGATTTTTTTTTGACTGACTTGGTTAAAAGGGATGTGTGAAATTAGACCAGGGGGTCTTCAAACTTGGCCCTTTTATGACTTGTGGACTTCAACTCCCAGAATTCCTCAGCCAGGCACGCGTGCCTGGCTGAGGAATTCTGGGAGTTGAAGTCCACAAGTCATAAAAGGGCCAAGTTTGAAGACCCCCGATCTAGGCCATGGATGAGTATTGCCAGATCAGTCTGTCTCAGTCTCAACAACTTGAAGATGACTGGACTTCAGCTCCCAGAATCCCCCAACCAGCATTGCTGCCTGGGGAATTCTGGGAGTTGAAGTCCACCCATCTTCAAGCGGTTGAGATTGAGAATACACTGGCCTCAATTGACTTAGAACAGTGTTTCTCAACCTTGACAATTTTAAGGCATGTGGACTTCAACTCCCAGAATTCCACAGCCAGCAATGTTGGCTGTGGAATTCTGGGAGTTGAAGTCCACATGCCTTACAATTGTCAAGGTTGAGAAACACTGACTTAGAATAAATCTTAAGCTAGAGCGTGGGCCTCAAACTCCAGTACTTTTGAAATATTACAGCAAAACGAACCTTTTTTTAAAAAACCAAGTCATTATATTTCAGAAACCAGGAGAGAGAACGCTCATAATTATTTGATTTTTCAGAATTTGAAATGCATTTGGGTTTTTTTGGGTTTTTGTTTAAAAAAGCTGTTTTTGGAAATTGTGAAGCCTCCCTGAATATCACCTGCAGATTGAAAGTGCCTTGAAATCCTTTTCTCCCTCGGGAGCCCACCAGCTCTGTTGGACTTTGACCCACACCAGTCTTGTGTTGTTTGCGTTGTTGGGGGTGGCTTTTAATGGAACTGGCGCGTTTTATCGTCCCTCTCTTTGCTGCTGGGGAAAAAAAAAATTAAATTAAACTCTCCAGGCCAAATTGTTAAGAGCTGCCCCCCACCCGCCTTGCCTAGATTTCACCCCGCTCTTGAAATATTATGTTATTTTTTTCCCCCACATTCATTTTTAAAAAGCCTCGTCTTGTGATGCCGTCGGTAAGACGGCCAATGTATTTGCCTGGTTCTTGTGTTTTTTTGGTTTGATGCATCTGTCGTATCCACTGGTTTCCTTTTTGAATAGGGTTTTATTTCGATAACGATCTGTTTATCGGCCTCCGAGGGTCTTTTGTTCTTTCCGATGGGCAGGCTGAATGTTTTCATCCCTTCAAAAAGTATTTATGAAGGTTCAGAAGATAGAGAGGGTTTATGGGTCACACGGCGGAGGGACCGGTAGAAGTTCAGGAAGTGGAGAAGAAGTAAAAACTGCTAAATCATGTGTCCTGGTGGGGCTGGGAAAAACCGGTCAAGAGAAGACCGGCCGGCCCACAGCAGTCAGGATTTTAAATTTTAACACCTAGAAGAGGGAATATTTGTAGCTTCTTTTGTGCTGTTTCCTGTTGGCTCTTTGGCAGTTTCTTGATTGGGGTATTTATCAACCAGCCCAACAGGGAACAAAAAGAAGGGGGATGGACAAGATGACCTCCGGGTCCCTTCCAACATCATCATCATTATTATTATTTTTATTTATTTAATTATTATTATTTATTATGGATCATCGCACAGTCAGCCAGATGTTCAGACTGGATTTGGCGTTTTGTCTACCTATCGAGTCCTTACCAAGGACCTGGGATGATGATGATATTATTATTATTATTATTATTATTATTATTATTATTATTATTATTATTATTATTATTATTATTATTATTATTATTACTACTACTACTACTACTACTACTACTACTACTACTACTACTACTACTACTACTACTACTACTACTACCCACGCACTTCTCCACCAGCAATCCGCACCCAGATCAGCATAGAATTCAGGGGTCTTCAAACTTGGCCCTTTTATGACTTGTGGACTTCAACTCCCAAAATTCCTCAGCCAGACAGGCTGGCTGAGGAATTCTGGGAGTTGAAGTCCACAAGTCATGAAGGGGCCATAGTTCCCCCATGCTGGCTGAGGAATTCTGGGAGTTGAAGTCCACCAGTCATGAAGGGGCCATAGTTCCCCCACGCTGGCTGAGGAATTCTGGGAGTTGAAGTCCACCAGTCATGAAGGGGCTATAGTTCCCCCATGCTGGCTGAGGAATTCTGGGAGTTGAAGTCCACCAGTCATGAAGGGGCCATAGTTCCCCCATGCTGGCTGAAGAATTCTGGGAGTTGAAGTCCACCAGTCATGAAGGGGCCAAGTTTGAAGACCCCTGGCATAGATTAACTCCAAGGTTAACCTCAGACCAACAATCAAGTAAACAACACCCCAATCAAGAAACTGCCCATGAAGCCGACAGTAAACAGGTCAACCAAAGAATCTCTTTAAGACCAGCCCAATGAAATATTTGTAGAATATTTGGGACCTTCACCTTCATTCCTGTCAATAAAGGAGGGTTGAAATGAGGGGTCCTTTTGGCTTTCTGCTGGTAGTTTCCTTGCAGACCTTTCATGACCCAACTAGGGAACATCATCAGTGCTAGAAGGGTGTGGGGTTTGTGAGGGGGGGGGAGAAGGAAGAAGAGGGAGGAGGAGAAGGAAAATGGTGACAATGATTATAGGGTCCTTGGTACTCTCTGGGCCTGGTGGCTTTCTTGAGACATTTCATCACCCAACTAGATAACATCATCAGAGCTAGAAGGGTGTGGAGTTTGTGGGGAAAAGGAGAAGAGGAAGAGGAGGAGAATTGTGGGGTCCTTGGTCTTCTGAGCTGGGTGGTTTTCTTGCAGACGTTTCATCACCCAACTAGGGAACAACATCAGTGGTTGAAATGAATGGGATTTGCAGGGAGGAGGAGGAGGAGGAGGACTGTGGGGTCCTGGGTGGTCTCTGAAGTTGGTCATTTTCTTGCAGACGTTTCATGACCCAACTAGGGAACAACATCAGTGCTAGAAGGGAGATGGGTTTGCAGAGTGGAGGAAGGAGAAGAGGAGGAACCCTGTGAGGTCTGTGGTGTTCTCTGAAGTTGGTCGTTTTTTTGCAGACGTTTCATGAGCCAACTAGGGAACCTCATCAGGGAATAAGCAGGGATTAACAGCAGACAAACAAACAGAAAACAATCAAGGATATCAAGGGGGGGGGAAACACCCACCCACCCTAACATTGGCAGGCCAGGCCACTGGGCACAAACAGGAAGCGAGTCCTACTCAGTAGCACATTTTGCTTCTCGTTCAAGAAGCTTCTTTGGTTGTAACGTAGAACCGAAGAAGCTTCTTGGACGAGAAGCGAAATGTTTTCAAGGGGAAAAAACCAAAACAAGAAAAACTCCAGTTGCATTTTTTTGGAAAAGCATCTTTCGGCCAGGAAATTTTGAAGAGGGCTGGAAGAAATGGAGAGAGAACAGAAGGGGTGGGCGAGGGAGAAACACACTCATTTTGGAGAAGGCAAAAATACGGGCAAGAAACGCACTCGGATGTTTCTGCTTTCCAGGGACTCTGAAAAGTGGGTTTTTTGAGCCAGGTCCAAGCCGAGTTTCCAGGTCAGGCAAAGCGGTAGAGCAGGGGTAGTCAACCTTGGCTCTTTTATGACTCGTGGACTTCAACTCCCAGAATTCCTGAGCCAGCTAAGCTGGCTCAGGAATTCTGGGAGTTGAAGTCCACGAGTCATAAAAGAGCCAAGGTTGACTACCCCTGCAGTAGAGATTTTCACTCAGCCTAAAAAAACCTCTGGCTGCGTTGGCCGAGCCTCTTGGGGCTATCTTTTTTTCTTTCTTTTAAAAATCATTTCTGAAATTCAAAGTGCAATCAGGAAGCAGAAATAGCTTCTTTCCAACAGGCCCTTTGACCCCAAGAAAGAGAATTTCTCACCAGGAGGAGCCATTTGCTGAAACCGGCCCTGGTGACGGCTTTGAACCTGCCTGGACAGCTGGACTGATTGAAAGAGAGAGAGTGTGTGTGTTGTGTGTGTGTGTTTGCGTAGGAGCACACAATTGCCCTCTTGCGACTCTCGCGGCCATCA